GATATAATGAACGGCTCCCTTCAAGGTTAAAAAGGTCTATTCAAATTATTCTTCCCATTTTAAGGGATTAGGGGAATTATTATGCAGCATCAAAGTTAAAACCTGGCAATTTTAGCAAAGGCAAGAATCCACTGTTTGCAATAGCCTATCAAACTGAGGAATTAGTGCAACTACTTCTTAGTATGGGGAAGCCTCATGCTTAGAATTGGTTCACTTTGGAAGGATAATGCCTTCCTTCTGCTGAGAGGAGGCGTCCTATCTATTTTACCTCTGACAGGCTATACTACAGCTTGTTCAAAGATGTCTTATGTCCTTGTATACCTAAGAACTTAAACGAAGCAAGAGTATTGATTTTATTTTGGTCTTCATTTTTAGAAGCTACAAATTATTTACATATTGAATCAAGGAGTACCCTTTTGGTGAAATAAACAATTTAAATTCTCCTGCAAGTGTCTAGAAAAGATAGTAGATGAATCATGGAACTCTTGGGGAATTTTTTGCCATACAGAGATCTCCCATAAGGAAGGGCAAACAAGAATTTAGATTCTTCAGCTAATGGAATAGAAAAGAAAATAGAAAACACTGATTACTGAAAAGAATCACAAGGTCAGAAGTACAAAAGTTATAATAATAATAGTAGGATTGGGAACAACTGGAATCATGAGAATTATAAACTTATCTATAGCTCTTAAATCTTGTACAAAATGATAATCATGTCAACCTTCTTTATCTAATTTTCCTTTTTTCTTATTGGTAAGATAGGGGTATTACATGTGGATTGTCCCTTTCTGATAACTCCTCGTTTTTCTAAATCTTCTATTACTGGCCATATTCCCTCAGTTTGAGCTTCAGACATAGGGTATTACTTAATGGATGGTCATGATTTATCTTTACAGTAGCTAATTGTACCTTATTTAATTCCTTTTATCAAGCCAGTAACATTACTAGAGTGGACCCCCATGACAGAATCTATCTTTTTCAATTGGGGTGCTTTTCCAACATGAGGTGAAACTGCTGCATAGTAACTAAATCCAGAAATTTCTCTGGGGAGTTCCAAAAATACTCTCCCTGGGGTATAGAATATGGTAGCCCTTAATTACACAGCAGGTCTTTTTCCAAGGATTGACAGGCAAATAAGGTGAAAGCAAAAAAATCACAATTTACAATTTAAGATCCTATTTGAGCGGGTTTCAAGAGCACTTGGCCCATGAGGAACTGAAGGGTGCAGAGCTGTGATAGGATGTGGAAGGGCAGAGAAAGAAAAAGGTTTGGAGAGAGTGCTTTTAATTTTCTCACTTTTGTTGTTCAGTAATTTTCAGTTGTGTCCATATCTTCTTTCATTTTTTTAAAGTTTTTCTTTCTGAGTATCCAAATCATTCTTAAGTTTGTACTCTTCCTAAAGATACCAATAATCCATTTGCTCTGGATGCAAGATGTCCAAGAATCACATTAAGTAAACTAACATCCTTAGAGGCAGCTGTTGGTACAGTGGATAGCATGGAGTCAGGAATAAGAAGAGTGGAGTTCAAATCCTGCCTCAGATACTTATTTATATGTGACCTTGGGCAAATCATTTAGCCTTAGTTCCTTCAACTGTAAAATCGGATAATAAAAGCATCTACTTTGGGAGGTTGTTGTGAGAATCAAACAAGATAATAGATGCTATATAAACTCTTATTCCCTTCTCCCTTATCTAGTTCAATTGAACCTTCCTTTGGCCATTATAAATATAACCACTCTACATGCTAGTGGTTCAGAAGGATTATGTCTCCCACGCGTTGGGGGAATAAGTTTGTATATTAGTATATTTATGATTACACCTTTTGAAGTAAATATATTTCTGGGAGGGGGAGAGAGAGAGAGAGAGAAAGAAAGAGAAGCTGGCAGCATGTCAGACTTCCCATATTTCTCCACCATTTTAGCCAGTGGAGACCAGTTGGAATCTCTTTAGTGCCAGAGCCACCAATTTTCTGCAACTCACATTGTCTAGTCTTCAATTTACTTACAGGTCTTTTACTTCTCAAAGTATGGGTCAGTGAGCCAAGTCCCAGCTGGGAGACTTTCAGAAAGTCAAGGTCTCTTATCTGCTAGAAAGTGACCACACATACCTGCAGAAAGTTTGCTCACTGGTCCTCCGGTACACAAGAATCCTGACAACTAAGCCAAAATGTTAGTCTGAAAAGAATAACATACATAAGCAATCCTTGAAATAATAGAAAATGTATTGAAAAGAGGAAAATAGCCACAGCCAGAGTATATGTATATAGGTAGTCTGTAAGAGACTGTGAAAGAAATTAGCTATAGCACTTTAAAAATATATACATAACAAAGAAATAACTTGTACAAGTATTCCAAAATAGCTCTTATATAATACAACTATTTCTCAGATTTTTTTTTTGTTGTTAAGTTTATCAGGACTTAGGTGCCGAAATAATGTTGGAAGAGCATTGGCAGAACCTCTTTAGGTTTGGATCAAGTACATCCATCTGTTCTTGGCAGTAGCTAAAAAATTTTAGGTGACTATGCCTAAGGCCATACTGTTATAACATAACCTTCAATTTTGTTCCTTACAAAGCAATCTCCTTATTGGTCTCTTATGTATGGTGCGCCTCATATACTCCATTCATACCTCCCTTCCACTGGGACTGTGACTGGGTGGTGGGCCCTGTATTGGTTTTAAGGGAGAGAGAGGTTACGCACTCTCTCTCTCTCTCTCTCTCTCTCTCTCTTTCTGCTTGTGGAGGTGAACCTCAGTTGGGATCTCAAGGCCCTAGTTAGCTCTTTTGCCTTGTTTCTTTCCCTGAGCATGAGTTTCTTTCCCTTAGCATCCCCTAAACAGGGATGCCTGGATGGTCATTATCAGCCTTGGAGAAAACCTTGTGAGTTTGAGGTTAGGGTCTCCTGGGTCCCACACTTGGTCACCACTGCACCATGGGAGATGCCCCCCTATAACTACTACAGCATTTCTTAAAGGAGATGACACCAGACCAAAGGATGATCACAATGCTTGTCTTGGCTTCCCAGAACATATGGACTTTGTGGGAGTTTTTCACACCATGTACTGCCTGTGAAGGTAAAATGCCTACTCAACAGTCCATGCATTAAATGTCCACTTCCCAGAAGAGTGTAATAATACAGTAGTTATGTAATAATACGGTAGTTACAAATTTCTACTTCAAGGTTTAAGTCTTTGTCAAAGGGTGTTTGTGAGTCTTTTGTGTCCTAAGCATTTCTTTTGTGATGGAAATAACTGTCAAAAGTACCTTCCTACGCTCCCTTTTTGAAGAGACCCTAGAGAGCAGCCAAACCTAGGTTTTAACTGATTCTCTCTGGTACTCTGCGACAAGAGATATAAAGAACTAGAGTTGAAGATGTGAAAAAAAAAAAAACAAAAAACCAGAATCTTCCTTTTAGAGACCAGGCTCCCTCAGGGACGAACCTGGTTTATACAACTCGGGGCAGTCAGCCCTACTGAGCTCAGGAGCAGTTCTGTGTTGATACGCTTATTTTATTTGTTTTGGTGTTATTTCTAAGGAGTTGAAAAACTTGCTAGGCTTATGTAGTGACTGATAGGATGAAGAAATTGCTGTCTTTTTTTTTTTTCAGTAGAGACAACATGATATGGTGGACAGAATAATGGACTTGGATTAAGGAAGATCAATCAATCCATATTTATTAAGAGCCTACCATGGCTTGTATTAAACACTGGGTTTACAAAAAGAGGTAAAAAGCAGTCTCGACTCTCAAGGACCTTACAATCTAAGGGAGGAGATACACAAATAGATCAAAGCAAGCCACGTACAGACAGGATCAACAGAGGGAAGGCACTATAATTAAGAGCGGTTGGGGAAAGCTTCCAGTAAAAGATGGGATTTTCATTGGGACTTAAAGGAAGCCCTGGAGGGCAAGAGTCGGAGGGGAGGAGGGGGAGCTTTCCAAGCCTGAGACAGCCAGAGAAAATGCCCCGAGCCCGGAAGCGGAGTGTCCCCTGGGCGAAGTCAGAAGGCCAGTGAATCTGGATGCAAAGATCCGTGTCCACAATCTTGCCCGAACGATTAATAGCTGTGTGATCCTGGGCATGTCATTTAGCTTCTCTGTGCTTCCGATTCTCCATCTGTAAACCGAGGGGCGGTAGAACTCCACGTCCCCTAAAATCCCTTCAAGCTTTAAATTTAGGAACTTATTGCCCTTATTAATAAAACGGTCCTAAGGACTGTGTGCAACGTTGGTTTGGAGACCTTGCAATTTTCTATTTTATTTCATGGGACTTTTCCATATGCATAGTTTATAATTTCTTTTAAAGAGAGTTTCTTTACCTCCTCCCAAGCCGCACTGAGACTCATATGGGTTGAAGAAAACAACAAACTCCCAGAGCAGAAACTGAAAAAGACCTTTTGACGGCGGGATTTCGTCAGCGCGCCTGCGCAAACAGGCAGCGGTCACATCGGCCGCGGTTCCCCGGCTCACTGCAAGGGGGAGCTGCGAAATAACCACTACCCATTTTCTCCCTCCGTTCCTCCTCCCCGCGTTGTCCGGGACTACGGTCAAATGAAAAAAGCGGTCCGTAAGGCGGGGGCCGTGGCGCTCTAGACCTCGCTGAGCTCATCTCTATCGCCTTTTGTCCTCCAGCTTCCCCCTTGAGACGCTAGGCCCAGCGGCCGGGTTGCTAGGCGGAAGAGAAGCGGCTACGGCGGAGGATACGGCGGGACAGACGGCGGGACTCCTGCCGGGAGGTTTGAAAAGCGGGCACGCCAGCGGCCGAAGGCCCCGCCCGGCCCGGCCGGCGCCGCTTCGCTCCCTTAACTGGCCTGGCCGGCGGAGGCCGCCGTCACCGTAGCATCCTCGGAGCAGCGGAGGGGACGAGCGAAAGCACCGGAGCTCGGGGCCGCGGAGGAGGCGGAGGAGCCGAGCGGCGGCAACGGCCGAGCCGCCGGGAGCGGGCGGTGCTGCGGGAGGCGGGCCGCGGCCGGGGGGTCCCCCGGGGAGGGCTGCCCTCGGGGCTGGGGTCCGAGTGTAGCCGGGGTCCCCCGATCAGGGCCTGTTCTCATTCAGCAGCCTTGTCTCCCTCCTGGAACAAGCAGCAGAAATGGTCTCCAAGTCGGACCAGCTGTTGATCGTGGTCTCCATCCTGGAAGGTGAGCGAGCCTTCCCCACCCCCACTCCCACCCCCTTTTGTTACTAGGACAGCTGGCTGGGAGGGAGGGGGTGACAGGCCCTCCCCTCCCCCTCCCTTCCCCCCCCCCGGGAGAGCCTGGTACCCCCTTTGCCTGTGCTGCTCTTTAAATTATAAAGGAACAGTGTGGGACTCTGGGTGAATGTGTGTGTTTGAAAGATCGAGGTTATACTCTGCACAGTCTTCTTCAAAGTTTAGAAACTTTGAAACCAGCGATTAGAACCCTGTCCCCAGGGTTCTGATAAACTCTAGGCATTACGGTTCTGTGTGAAATGTAATCCCCAGGACATCTGGTGGTAATAATAATAATAAGAGCTAGCTCTTCAGGGTGTGCAAAGCTCTTTGCAAATGTGATCTCATTTGATCCTGACAAACAACCCTGGGGAAGCAGGTGCTATTATTATCCCCGTTTTACTAATGAGGGAAATTGTGGCAGAAAGAGCTTAAGTGACTTGCATGTAGCAAGTATCTGTGGCTGGATCTGAACTGTCAATGAACATTTATTAAGCACCTACAATGTACTTGACCGTGCTAAATTCTGGGAATACCAAGAAATGTAAAAAGGCAGGCCCCACCCTCAAAGTGATAGCAGACAAACCTCTGTGTACAAACAGGCTATATAGAAGATAAATTGGAAATAATCAACTAGGGAAGACACTAGAATTTAGAGGGGTGGAGGAAAAGCTTTCTCAGATGTTCCTGACTCTAGATTCGGTGTTCTATCCATTGTGCCATCTAGCTTCCACTAAAGAGGTTTTTTAATCAGTAGTAGCTAGTGTTTTAATATTTAAAGGACAGCGTATTTGTGCACTTTAGTTTCTGTTAACAGTGGACCTTTAAAGGTTCATTTTCTTCAACTTCCCTCCAGCACTGTATGTGTTAGGTATTGCAAAATGTAGATTTTGCTGGGCAGTTTGAACAGTTAATGATGGGACCCTCCTCTTTTCCAAACTAGATGGATACTTGGTAGATTTAAAAATTTTTTTTTACATGCTTGATTTTTTTGGTAAGATATGAATGCTATGTAGAAATTTTAAAAATGAGTGAAGGTACTGAAACCCATGTTTCTGGAGAAGAAAACGGAAACAAGCATTTCAAGTCAAGGAAAATTTGAAGGAAAAGACCAATATCCAATTACAGAGAATTAGATCATGGATAATCTTAACCATATAAAAAAGAGGGAATTAATTATATAAAGTTATAAGATATACCTTTTGCAAATTATTTTCATCACTTGAACCAACCAGCCAGTAAATATTTTCATTGCTCATTGCTTTGCCAAACTGTAGGAGATAGAGAGCTGTAGATATGGACTTCTAACCTTAGGGTACCAGTTGACAGAGATAGAATGTCATGTACAGGAAATGGCTAGCATACTAGTTTGTAATAGAGTACATAATAGAGAGTTATGTGAAATAAAACTGGAAAGGTAGGTACATTGTGAAGGACTTCAAATACCTGTTTGAAGATCTTTTATTTTACAGTAGAGATAATAGGGATCTTTTGAAGAATTTTGAATGTGTTGGGGTGTGTGATGTGGTGCAAACTGCTTTAGGAATATCAGTTTGGTAACTATGGAAGATGGTTTAGTGAAGGAAGAAACCCTAGGCAAGGATACTAGTTATACTATTACCGTCATGTACGTGAGAGATGATGAGAGCCTAAATTGTGATGAAAGTCTGACCTACAGTAGAGGCTGTACAAATGAAATCAACAGTGATTGGATAAGGGGGTGGAAGAAGTAAGAATCAAGGTTGACCCAGATATGGAAACCAACAAGGTTGACTAGAAATGTTGTGGTGCTGTCAACAGAAATGGAGAAGTTTGGTCGATGGGGTTGTTTGGGGAATAATTTTTATTCTGGCTTTTTTGAGTTGGAGATGATGATTAAAATGTAGATATAGATATCGAGCAGACATCTGGTATGAGTAATATGTTATTGGAGTTTAAGAGAAAAATAGCTGGGTATCTGTATTTTTATCTGTAGAGAGATGATACATGAGATCAAGTAAGAGTATAGAAATCAAAGAGAGATGGACCCAAGACAGAGTCTTAAAAGACATAATATTTAGTGGATGGAACCAGGAGAATGTTTCAACAAAGGAGTAGTCAGGAGGAGAATGAAGAGCAATTTAACAGAACTCAGTCCAGGAAAGAATGCCCATTGGAAAGTATTTTTGGATAGTGTTGAAAGCTGCAGAGAGCTCATTAAAGATATGAGAGCTGAGAAAAGGGCATTAGATATTTAGCAGTTTAAAGCTGGTGTGTTGCCTTGTAGAGAAGAGTTTCAGGCAAGTCAGGAAACTTGATTGAATGAATGAATGAATGAATGAATGAGAACAGCATTTATTGAAAACTCAACCATATTTAAAGCTCTATGCTAAGCATTAGAAATACAAATAGAAAAGTAAGACAGTTCCTGATCTCAAGGATTTCACATTCTAATGGGGAGACAATACATAGGAAAGGTTTCAGCTGGTAGTCAGATGAAGAGGCAAAACACAGGTCATCATTCAGGCTTGCAAAGTAGGAGTTATCCTCAACTCCTCACCTGTGCAACCTCACTGGAACCTTCTCATTTGTGACACTGCCACCACTCTGGGGTAGGCCCATCACCTTGTGCTGGGATTATGCAATAATTAGCTTGTGAATTGGCTTGCCTCAAGTCTCTTCCCCATTCCAATCCATCTTCCTTTCAACCATTAAAGATATTTTCTGGATCATGTCACACACACACACACACACACACACACACACACACACACACACACGTAAAAAATGCTCTGTTTGCATTCCAAGCCCTTCATAACCTAGTTCCTCTTTTCTTTCTAGTCTTCTTACACCTTATTCCTTGATCCATACTCTTTAACCCAGTATAGTGACACTGGCTTCCTGACTGTTCCAAAAATAAGACACTAGGCTTCTGGCATTTTCTCTGATTTTCCCCCATTCCTGGGCTCCCTCCTTCCCTTCTACTACTGACTTTTCCCTGGCTTCCTTTAAGTCCCAGTTAAAATCCCACTTTCTCTCGGAAGCCATCCCCAACCCCTTTTAATTCTAATGTCTTCTCCCCCTAATTATTTCCTATTTATCTTGCATATAGCTTGCTTTGTATCTATTTGTTTACATGTTGTTTTCCCCATTAGATTGTAAGCTCTTTGAGGACAGGGAATAGCTTTTGCCTTGTTTTGTATCTCTAGTGCTTGGCATAGTACCTGTCACCTAATAGGTGCTTAATAAATATTGACTGACTGATTGAAAATGCCTTTTTGAAAGGAACATGAGGAAATGGAGGCAGTTTTTTCTATGAGTTTGATTTCAAAGTGTCTGAAGTGACTAAGTAGGTAGTAGTATTTAGATGAGATGTCTGAGATGTTTGAGATGTGATGTCTGCATCAGTCAGGAAATGATTAATGTACAAAGTTGGATTTGAGTTAGACAGTAAATAAGGTAGTGTATGGCTAAGTAGACAGGTGAGAGGAGGACAGGGCAGCAAGGCTACATTATCAAAAGTTGCAGTGACCGTGGTATCCTCCTGGGACAGTAAGGGGTCTGCCTTCATTAGAGCAGAGGGTGAACATTTTGGAGTAATGGAAGTGTTTGAATTGATAGCATAGAACCAGATTATGTAGGGCTCTGAAAACTGGAAAAATTAAATTTGTTGCAGTGGGAAAATAGGCTTTTCTAAGTTCTTGAGCAAGGGAATGCCATGATGAAAGTGATGTTTTAGGAAAATTAGCCAGGCTACAGCTAGAAGGCTGGTGCAGTAATATAGTAAATAGTGAGGTAATAAAAACTTAGAATTTGAGTGCTGACAATGAGAATAGAAAAAGAAATGATTTGAGGAAGGAATTGATAGTATTTCTTTAACTGGTTTTTGATATTTTTTGTGTAATGGTCTGCATTTGTCCCTCATATAGAATAAAAGATTATATATTGTTGCCATTTCTTATCAAATTTAGGGGAGAAAACGACTTTACCTGAATTATGAAGGAAAATTGAGGTAAAAGTAATTCTTCTGCCAGTTATTCTAGCTTTTTGCAGTATTAGGTACTGTTAGAAAAGAGTTAATCTAATTTTCATGTAAAATTGTGCTGCTCATATTTTAAATTTTAATTTGTATCACCAATAGAAGCCAGACTTTTAAGGAATTTGAACCTTAAATTTTAATTTGAAAAGGTTTTCAGAATTGTTGCAAATTTAAATGTATGCTTCCAGTTTATACCATATTAATAAATCTATTAATCCTTTTATTTGAAGAAAGAATTGTTTTAAGTGTAAAGTTCATCTTTGTGAAAATTCAATACTGTCATCATTTTTTCATGTATCTTTACTTTTCTGAATTAAATCTTCAAATATAACATTGGCTAGCATGTGATTTTTTTTACATGTATAATTAATACGTAGGCCTATATTTTTGCAGGGCGTCATTTTCCTAAGCGTGCCAAACATATGCTTGTGGTAGAAGCAAAGTTTGATGGAGAACAGTTGGCTACTGACCCTGTGGACCACACTGACCAACCAGAATTCGCCACTGAATTAGCTTGGGAAATAGATAGAAAAGCACTTCATCAGCACAGGTGACTAGTATTGCTCAGAGCCAACTAAAATTGCTTCAACATTTTCATCTTATGTTCCTCTTCAGGCCTGCAGAAGCAAAATATTTAAACTTCCTTAATCATATTTGTAATTAACTATAAGATGTAAGATAACAGACATTTTTATTGTTATGAAGATTTGCCTTAGGTAAAATTAGATCATAGAATCATAAAATTTTAGAGCTAGAAGAGAAATTAGTGATATTCTAATCCAAGCTCTTTTTTTTTTCTTACAAGAAAGTGAAGTTGAGGAAAGTTGTGACTTGTTTAACGTTACTCAAATAGTAGTTGAATCAAAGATACCCAGATCTTCTATCTCTCTGTTACTATCTGATTACCTTTAATTTACTTTCTATCCATCAGCAAGCCTTTAAATGTTTACTCTGTACTAAACACTGTGCTAAGTTAAAACAATCTCTACTTAGAGGAGTTTACATTCCAACTGAGGAGATGGCAAGTGTATATATAACTATATAGTACAGGGTAATTTAGGAGGGAGGATACTAGCATTTGTTGGAGGAGGGGGAGTAGTGATCAAGAGAGTGGTGCTCGAGCTCTATCTTGAAGAGAGGGGCTCTATGAGGAGGAGGTAATGAGGGGAATCCTTCTAGCATGGGTAAGGCCAGTGTGAAGGCACAGAGACAGGAGATGAAACCTCATGTGTAAAAAACAAAGACAAAGCCAGTTTTTCTGAATGACAGAGTGTAAAAAGGTGGAATCATATTCTGTGAGGTTGGGTTTAGGCCTGGTTATGGAGAGCTTTAAATCTAATTACAGGCGTTTACATTTTATACTAGAGCCAGTAGGGATTAATTGGAATTAATTTAAGTAGGGAAATTACTTTGTCAGATTATATGTAATATATCCATCTCAGTCTGGATATATTAATAAGGGAGCAGAATGTTAAATAGGCATGAATATTTTTTATAAGCTACCTTTTCCTTCCAAAGAGGTATATAGGATATTTCTGGAAAGATGAGTGAATAAAGTGGTCATGACTAAGCCAACCTCCCTTTACGGCTTCAAAGCTGTGACGAAAGTGCCATATAAAGTAAAAGAACAGCTGAAAAAAGGGATAATGGAAAGAAATCCTCACAGGAGAACTCACAGAATGTAAAAAAAAAATGAATAAACTGGTATGATGGATAAGTACTAGGATATATAAAAACCTGAGGAAAAATCTCCAGAAGGGGAAAAAAACTGCATTGTACCTCTGGAAAAGAGAAAGGACTTAGCACAACAACCTCCAGAGTGGTATAGAATTGCATTAAGAGATATAACAGAAGATCTGGCATCTATAAGATTGGAAATGAGCTTGCTGAAGAGAAAATTCAAGAAGAAGAACATAAGAATTGATAGTGTAGAAAAGACAGTGGAAAAACCTCAGTGCAACATTTAACTTTCTAAGGAGCAGAATTAAGTAGAATGGAGAAAAATGCTGAAATTGAAGATCAGAATAAAATTTTACAAATAGCAAAATGAAAGACTTTAGTTTTCAACAAATCAAAGCAACAGAACTAGGTGAGAAGAACTAAAAATTATTGATCTCCTAGAAAAATACCAAGAGTCTGAATTCTGTATTTTAGGAATTTGCCTAGGAAAATTACCTGGAAGTATTGGGAGTAAAGGGGCTAATTCTAATATGATAGAATCTAGAGAATGCCATCAGAGAGAGCTTCAAACTTAACTCATCCAGAAAATTAGTCACCAAATTATAGAACTTTAATGTCAGAGAATTTCAGTCAGCCAGAGGGAAGGTATCAGAAGGCACCAATTCTAATTGCATAGTACTAATCTGATAAGAAATGAAAAAAAGAGTTGTGGTTTAGTAGGTAGAGTTAGGAAGATCGTAAGTTTATAGATTTAGAACTAGAAAGTAATCTGGGATTTAGAACTAGAAGGGAACCTGAGAGGCCGTGTATCCAACTCCCTCCTTTTACAGATAAGGAACCGAGACCAAGCTATTGAGTGTGAGGCAGGATTTGAACTGTCATGGAGTTCTGGTTTTGATGAAGATAAGTCACTTAACTTTTCTGTTTCTTCATTTGTAAAATGGTGGTAATATCTATATTATCTCCCTCATGGGTTGGCTATGAGTTTCAAATTAGATAATTGTATTTAAAGTGCTTTGTAAAGCTTATGGCAACTATGTAAATATCTGTTTTAATATGTTATATTGAAAAGAAAATGAAATGTTTCTTGAAAATTGGTACCCAGAGTGAAGTTAATCAAAGAAGGTAATGAATAAGATTGGGGTTATTCTTCAACCACAGTTGTTTCAGAGCCAAGTGGGGAAAGGTTAAAAAAAAAAGTCAGTAAAAATAGAATCCTGCGATTTGTCTTGCTATGGATGGGAGAGTAGAGTGGAATTGTAACAAACAAACTTTCTGTCTAGTGGGGGTGGGGGCAGCATTCTATGTATGAGAACAGACTATAAGTTTGGACTGTTAAAAACAAAAACAACTTTGATACCTTGTTTGTGCTAATGAAAAGAAAGTTGAAAAAAGCAGGAGTTTACATTTTGATTTCAGATAAAAAGATATGATTGAGAAAGTAAAGCAGGGAAATTATAATTAAAGGCAACATAGATACTGAAACACTTTCATTATTAAATGTGTGTGCATTGAATGGCCCAATTACCATGTTTTTCAAGGAAAAATGTGCTGAAATGAAAAAGAAAATAACCCTTGTTAATATTCTAAGTGACTCTTAACAGTGCACTGTTAAATTCATCAAAAATTCATTTCATCAAGCAATTGACCACTTACTGTGTACAAGGCACCTGCTGGACTGGCATTCTCTTGGGAGGAGGAGGAGGGAACACTATATATATGCAAAAATAAATTGAAGAGAGGAAAATTGAGAAAAGAGAGATACTTAATATTGAGGGGAATATCAGAGAACACTTCACTGAGGATATAACACTTGAGTTAAGCTTTGAAAGAAGACAGGGATTCTGACAGGCAGAGGAGGAGGAGGAGGGAATACATTCTAGGCTTTAGGAACTACTTCTGCTAATGCATGCAAATGAGAGACAGTATATAATTTGGAAAGCAGCTAGTAGTCCAGTTTGGCTAGAAGAGAAAGTTTGTGAAGGGAAATGGTATGAAATATGACTGAAAAGTAGGAGGTTGATTGCAGTGTGGCTAATGAGTTTATATATTATCCTGTAAGCAGTGAAGAGCTACAGATGGGTATGTGGGTAAATCTCTCACAACCAGCTCTCTAGGCAAAACAATGAGCATGACACACTTTAAGTTTTGTAGATGATGATCAATTATAAATTATTACCAAATTCACAGTTGTGTAAGTTATAACCTTCTCTTTTTCTCTCATTTTGAACTGACTGGTATGGATATAAGGTGTTATGTTAAGTCTATCAAATTGTTTTCCAGGAGCTCCTCACAGAGAAAGAGTCTCTTCCCTGGTAGCTTATGTGCCTGAGCTTATTTAACATATATGCTATTACATGAGTTTCTTTCTAGTTCTTATTTATCTGATCTATTCCACTGATCTATTTTGTAATACAATTTTTAATGCAATACCTCAAAGATGTCTTATTGCTGCTTTTCAAAAAAAATCACTTGTCTAGATATTCTTGTTCTACCATATGAATGTGATTCTTATTTTGGTTTATTTTATAAAGTATTTTCTTGGTAATTTGACTGGTAAAGCTATTAATCAGTGTATTTTAGTTGCCACATCATTGTTAAGATGCTACTGTACCATGTAGCCACGAATACTGAGTATCTTATCTACTTATTTAGGCATTTCTCTGAAAATATTTTCATAGTTCTATTTTTATTTTTTTTTGCAAGGCAGTAGGGGTTAAGTGACTTGCCCAGGTCACACAGTTAGTAAGTGTTATGTGTCTGAGGCTGGATTTTTAACTCAAGTCCTCCTGACTCCAGGGCTAGTGCTCTATCCACTGTACCACCTACCTGCCTCCCATAGTTCCATTTCAATGTATGTTACTCCACATATTTAATGCATTTTGTTGTTATATTAAATGGAATGCTTTCTGCTTTCCCTCTCACTGGGTTTTGTTAGTATTACATAACACTTATTATATTTGTGGATTTTTTTTATATCCTAATCCTTAATGAAGCTATTGGCTAAAAAATTTTTACTAGAATTTCTAAGTAAATTAGTACATCATCTTCACATGAAATTTATTTTGATTCCTCTTCACCTATGGCCATAATGAACATAATTGCATCTGATGTACTGACATGTCTTGCAAAGAATGCAAAGTAGAGTAATCCTATGAAAAATTGATAAGAATTCCCAAATTGTAGCATCATATACTTTGAAAGTAGGTGACTTAAGTGCAGAAGTGAGAAGAGGGGAGGATGGCCAAGAAAAACAAATTGGAAAAATATTCTAGGTGCAAGAAATGAGAGAGCAAAGACTTGCAGCCTACAAAGAAGATATACCTGTTAATCGTAAGACACTGGGCATGGCAAGTATCAAACAACATTATAAATCATCAAATTTGTTATAATTTAACAGATAGGAAAATAACTGATTATTAATGTGGGGAATTTCCAAATCAGCTGTCTGTATGCCTAGTGATACCAATCAGCATCATGCCAGCCTGAAAAATAGAACTTTCTAAATGAGACTATATGGGCACCCATTTGAGACAAATCCAACTTAAACTCTTAAACAAAAGGAAGGAAAAAAGTGGAGAAAGGAGAATGAGTAAAAAACAGACAAAACACTTTAAAAAGGAAGTTTAACCAATGTAAATCAGTCACTGAAGCACAGAAGTCCCAGTGGAACCTAGAACTCACTAGCAAACCTGATGTTCTTGGGAAGTAGAGAGATGTGGCTGTGAAGGGTAGGATGGGTTTAGAATGTAAATTCATTTATAAATCTTATAGAAGAGGATTGGTGAAAGTATGTACTCATAAAAAAATCAAGAAGCAGTAGAGGAAAAACACATTTACAAAAAGTTTAGCAAGAGACCTAAATTAACCAAATCATCCCAAAGACACATAGAAGAGTGAAACTAGAAGAACAAGGAGCAAATAAAATGGAATCAATATATTTATAAAAGTTTCTAATTTATTCTTTTTTCACTTTATTGACAATATATTTGGATTCTGATATCGTAGCACCTGATATGCTGCATGAAGAAACAGAAATTACACTAAGGATAACAAATACAGGAAGCATAGCTAAATAAAACCAAGTATGGACATTGACAGTAATAGAATTTTGTGTATGCTGAGGGACTGAGTCTTAAGATAACTCTCAAAGAGGGAAGGATATCAGAGGATTAGAAAAAAATCTTAGGTCCAATTATTACAAAGAAAGGTAAAATAGTCATAATTATTGAGCCAGATGATTGCTTCCAGTCTCTGCCTTCTCCAGTTGATCAACTGTGCCACATCTGCCAAGATGACCTGATGGGTCTGACCAACTCATTCGAGTATTCAAAAACTGTCCATACGGAGCCCTTGGTGTGCAGGAGTTAACTAATCTTTACAAAGCTGACTTAAATGTTCAGTCTCAGCGTTTTCACCTCAGAAAACAGGGCTTGATTTATTGTTAATTGTCTGCTCTAGATTTAAGAAGGTGGTGGAGAAAATGTTAATAATGCAGATTAAATTTAAAAGTATGACATACACATTTTTTCCCCCTTGGGATAGCTTGTTGTTAAAGATTTACCTGCATACCCCTGTCTGTAGCTCTTCACTGCATATAGGATAAAATACAAACTTATTAGCCTGGTATTTAAAGACCTGTACATTATGGCTGCCACCTACTCTCTAGCCATATTTCATACCTTTTCCCTTCACAAACTCTATCTTGAGCCAAACTTGATTAGTAGCTGTTTTCCATACTATATACTCTGTCTGTCATCTTCGTTTATTAGCACAAGCAGTTAAAATATTTTTAACTAAATAAAACTTTCTTTCCACATTACTTTGTGTCCTCGGATTCTCAAAGACTATACTGCTGTGTACATTTTCTTTTGATTATTCCACTGCACTTTTCTATTTTGTATTCAGTTTGGATAATTTTTATAATTAATGGTTTTTAATGTACCTTGAGATCTAGTAATGCCAAATCACCTTTCTTCTTTTAAAATTATTTCCCTACATATTCTTAATCATTTGTTCTATATTATTATCTGTCTAATTCTGTAAAGCATTCTCCTTTCTAATTTGACATAATATTAGCTCTCTAGATTAATTTGGGTATCATTTTTATTGTATTGCCATGAACAAGAATATTTTTCAACTTTTACCTGCTTTGATTTCTTTGCAGGTAATTGTATTTAAACAAATGTTTTAAATGCATTTGTGTGTCTTGGATAGTTGAACTCCCAGGTATTCAGTTCATTTTGTTGGTATTTTAAATGGAATTGCTCTTTCTCTTCTTGGGTTTTGTTAATAATATATGGAAATACCGGTGATTTCTGTGAATTTATTTTACACCTTGCTTCCTTGTTGCAGCAATTGTCTTGCGATTTTTATTGTTGATTCTCTAAGTTTATTTAAGCAAGCTATTATATTGCCTGCAAACTCAAGATAATTGTGCCTCTTTTTTCTAATGCTTATTTCCTAATTTTTTTTCCTTGACTTATTGTTATGACTAGTATTTCCAGTGCCATGTCAGCTGATAATGGTTATACTGCTTACTCTTGTTTCACTCTTGTTATCACTGGAAAAACTAAACTAGTGATTTTCCATTCTAACTAATGCTTTGCTCATGGCAACAGAAGTTCATCATTTAAATTAAGGAAAAGTCTTTTTATTCCTGTGCTTTTTAGAACTTTTAACAAAATTATCTTAGAAAAGACTTTTTTATATCCATTTATATAATCATATGTTTTTAATTGTTTTTGTTACTAACATGACTACACCAAGAATTTTATTGTTGAATCATCTTTGCATTCATTATATTAAAATTCAGCTTGGTCAGTAATGAATAATTTTTTGGATGTGTTACGTTAGTCTGTGTTAGTGTTGTAGTTAATTTTTTTTATTGGCATGCATCAGTAATGTTGGTTTATATTTCAAAGCATCTTGGGATTATAGATTTAAACTCAGAAAAAGCCTTAGAGGCCATCTGGGCAACCCCTCATTTTTACAGATAAAGAGACTGATTTCTAGGGTGGTTAAAGGACCTACCCAAAGTCACATAAGCAGGCAGAACCCAATACCTTTTCTGCTTTATCCTTCATTAGTTTAGCAGCAGTAAAGCACAGAATATTTTCTTTCTGTCTTTGAAAACAGTTTATGAAATATAGGTAAGAGAGAGTCCTTTGGAAAGTAGGCTGTTGGGAAATAGGTTTTGATTATTACCTTATACCCTATCCCACAATAAATTCTAAATTAATAACCTAGTGAAATATACAGATGTCCAAGCAGTTGCCAAGTCTTTTGTTTTTCCACAAAATCTCTTAGATTATCCCATTCTCTCCACTCACACAACCCTTGACCTAATTCATGCTTTCACTGTATCTTTCCTGGACTGTTACAGTAGCCCCCTAATTAGTTTCCCTGCCTCATTTCTCTCCAAACAGCTACAAAAGTATTTTCTTAAAGCATGTCTGCCCATGTCATCACCTCCTACCCCTTCTTTCCTGATCAGTCAACTCCATTGGTTCCCTATTACTTCTAAGATCAAAAATAAACTCCTCTGTTTACTTTGCAACCTGATCCTTTTCTATTTTTATAGTCTTTTAAAAACATTATCCGTAGTCCAATCAATTTGATGTTTCTCCCACAAACAATGCTCCATCTCCCAACTTTTTGTGCTAGAATGCCCTTCTTCACCTTCACCTCTTAGAAACCCTGAATTGTTTCAGGACTCAACTCAAATGCCACCTTGTGCAGGAGGCTGTTCTTAGTCTCCCCAGCTTCTTGTGCCTTCCCTACCAAGGCTATTTTCTATCCACTCTTGTATATACCTATTTATGTACGTATTGACTCACCTGTGAGCTCCTTCAGGACAAAAGCTATTTTAGCTTTTAATTTGTATTTACTTAGCATGTAGTGCTTAATCAGTTCATTTTGGTTGATTGATATATAGTTTTTCTTCCCCTGATGTTCTTTGCAACTAGAAAAAAACACATTGCTTTAGTTGTCATATCCAACAATTTGTATGGTTTTAAGAACAAAGAGGTGATAGTCCTTTTATATTCTGCCCTTCTTCACTTCTGGAGTGTTATGTTCAGTTCTGGGCACATTTTGGGAAAGAAAAAGCATCCAGATGAGGGCAATCATAGTAGTGAAGGACCTTGAGTTTATGCCATATGAGGGTCATTTGAAGGAATATGGTATGTTTAACCTGGAGAAGAGCCTCAGTGATGATTAAATTAAAGTATTTGAAAGACTGTGTATGGATGAGGAATTGCGCTTTTTCTGGCCCCAGAGGACAGGACTAAGAGTATTAATTGGCCACTGAGGTCCTTTCCTACACAGAAATTCTGTGAAGATAACCATCTAGCAACTATAACTAACATAAAATGGCAAAATAGGATTACCAACAGTCTGATTTTAGAGCATAGCTAATCTCTAAGCATTGTAATGATGTTCATTGCAACTTTGCGCAACTGGACATGTGTGGAGAATGGATAGACAACTCTTACCTCAGTGGAAAAATACTGACCAGCACAGATAGAAAATATCACTTAAGGAAATACTGAATAGGGAAGACATATCCACTCAATGAAAAAGAGGTAGTTATTCATGAAGAGCTTGAGTTTTAATTGAAGAGCATCAGTACATGAGATCCACAAATTCATAGCAAAAATAGCTATCAAAAGTGTTAAAGGTTAAATGGGGAAGCTTATTGCCCTAGTTGCCAGGGGAAGCCTTAGACAGCTCCCTGAGATGGGACTGCCTTTACTGGAAACATGTAGCATCGATGCTTCGATCTGAATATAGACTTCAGCAAGCCAACTAGGGCTTTTATTTAATCCACCTTAGGTATGCTGGCTAGCAAGTTAGTTATCACTTTCAGTGTTATAAGAAAGTTCACATTTAGGCAGTGATCACTACCTAACCAAACAGTTATTGCATATAGTTCTTGTTGGCTGGGTTCAAACAATGTTTTCTGGATCTGTGAACTTGTCAACCATCTTGGGAATGCATTTTGAATTTATGTAAGAAAAATTATAAAATTCTGTATACCTCTTGACTCAGAGATCCCACTGTTGAGTTTATTAACACCCAAATTCTTGTTAAGGGTGGAAAAAAAGAAAAATACCTTATTTGTATGAAAATATTCATAGAACCACTATTTGTAATAGCAAAAATTTAGAAATAAACTGACTAACAATTGAGGAATGATTGAATGAATTGTGGTATGTGATTGTTACAGATAATTATTGTTCTAATGGAAATAACAAACAGGAAAAATTCAAAGAACTATGCAAAGACCTGTAGAAAGTGATAAAAACAAACCAAAAGAATAATAGAAAAATTAGTACAGCTCTGCAAGTGAAGACTTTTTGCTTAGATTGTACATTTTGAAGTTTCATTGTGAGTATTCACAAGTACATTGTGAGTTTCAAATGATGTATTGAAACAGAATTTGTCATCCTTATCCCCAAAAAGTATATAGACAGTAATGAGGATTTTATTTATTTGATATAGCTAATAAGAAATGGTAATTTATTTGGGGAGTAGACAAGTGGATGTTTTATAGCCTTTTATGTTGTGGAAGCATAATGAATGTTAACCAGCAATTTGTAACTTTGTTTAATTTTTTATACAAATCTGTTATGTGTTTTAGGTTGCAGCGCACACCTATCAAGCTCCAGTGTTTTGCTGTGGATTCTTTATCTACAGCTAAAGAATCCATTGGGTACATTGTTCTAGACTTAAGAACTGCCCAAGAAACAAAGCAGGTATTGCTCTTTTAAAAAAATTTTTTAAAAACTAAACTTAAACATCAAGAAACATGAGCATTTCATGTATATATATATATATGTATATACATATATATATGACTGAAAACAGAGGATTGTATTTTAAAATAATATAATGTAAAAAAAATGCTTAAAAAAGTATATGTAAAATATAACATGAGAGTATCAATATTTCCCTGCTTGTCTGTCTACTTCTGAATTTTCTTCTGTCAGGTATTACTCTTTAATGAAGTAATTAACAACAATTGCTTTAACTATAGGAAATGTCATTGTCACTTTTTAAATGGGAATAAATGTAAAAATAAGTTAGCTAATGGATCTTAACCAAGACAGATGCCATGTCTTGAATTCATCTGCATATTGCTCTTTCTTTCTTAAATTGTCCAAGTCTTTTTTGTTGTTGTTTTCCAATTAAAAACCTGTGACATGCAAGGTACTCTGCTATGTGCCAAGAATACAAAGACAAAATTAAACAATCCCTGTCCTTAAGGACATATTTTTTTATCTGAGGAATATAACCTGCATTCTGATAAACAAATATATATAGAATGATCTACACCAATTTAGGCCTGGCTGTCTGAGCAAATGATTTGGGAGTAGAGTTTTCCCAAAGTCAAATGTAAATCATTCATTCAGTTTGCCAGTTATTTCCTTAAAAAATATTATTTTTATTGAGCTTTTGCTTTTACATGACCTTCATTTCTGAATACATTCCTCCATCCTACTCAGTGATCCATCCTTTCAATCAAGTATTTAAAGAGAGAAGAAAAAGCAGTCTAGCAAAACCAGTCAGCACATTAATCATATTGGACACTGTTTCACACTGTAAGAAGGAGTTGGATGTACATGTTCTCAGCTCTTCTCTGGGACCAGATTTGGTCATGGTAATTATTCCGTATTGAGTTTCTTAGTCTTTCTCTTTTCATATACATCTTTGTCATCATTCTGTGTCATTTATACCCTGGTGGTCACTGTGTATCAGTGGTGTGAGTATTGTCTTCGATTAGTTCCCATTTGTCTTTCTGTGCTTCTTTGAATTCTTCATATTTGTTGCTTCTTATAGCCTAATAATATTCTATGACTTGTTTAGTCATTCACCAATCCGTGAGTATTTACATTGTTTCCAGTCTTTCTGCCACATAAAGTGCTGTTTAATTTTGACTGATTTGTTCCTAACTTCCTTAGAGTATGTGACCCAGTGGGATTTCTGACTCTCTTATTCCCTTTCTATCCATAAAGACCTGTCATGCTCTCAGTATTTATAGTAAAATGCCTCTTTCCTTCTCTGAAGCTTTTTTTCCTCTTGTGGAGGAATCTGCCAGAGAATTTATTTTTCTGAGATTTTTCATCCTTGGTATATCTTCTTTCTAGACTTAGACCCTTAGTCTTTTAGACCTAGGAGGGCCCTATGACGTCTCTAATTGAACATTCTTGACTTTACAAATGAGTTGAGGTGAAGTCACAGCCTTTTGAAAGTCACATAGCTATTTAGTGGCAGAGCTGTGACACAAACTCAGGTGTCCTAAAGCTCAAAGATTCTTTATGGTGCATCATGTGCTAGTAAGGTATTTTAAAAATACTCCCTTTATAGAGAACTTTAAGAAAGTGTTTTTTCCCCACAATAACTCTGAGAGGCTTATAGTATTATTATTGTTATCCCAGTTTTACAAATGAGGAAACTGAGACTCAGAGAGGTGAAGTGACTTGATAATGTCACACAGCAAGGAAACATCACAGGTAGGATTTTAATTGAAGACTTTCTTACCCCAAGTCTAGCACTCTTTATGTTGTACCATGTTGCCTTCTTATCGTTTAGTTTTTTCTTAACATTCTTGTTGTACCCTTTTCTAAAAATGGAAAGCTGCTATATATTTCCTGTTTCCCCTCTTTTACTCCAGCCTCTATAAAAGAATTGAAAAGAATTAATTTTAGTTTTCTTTAGATTGCTTCTTTCACTATAATTCTGGGAAGAAAAATGTCCAGTTGGCACCCTGAACTCAACATGCTTAATATAGAACTTAACCGTTTCTTCTAGATCCATCCCTCCAATTTTTTTTTCTGTTTCTGTTCTGGGAACCATGATCCTACCAGTAACCCACATCTTAGTGTTGGATTCAACCTTGATTCTTCCATTTCTTTTGCTCCATCTGTTCAGTTAGTTGCTAAATGTGTTCTTTACTCCCCTGGCACCTCCCCCCCCCCACAATAATATTTCTTGATTTCATTCCTTTCTTTTCATTTACATACCCACTACCCTAGTTCAGGCCCTTATCATCTCTCACCTGGACTATAATGTTAATCTTTTAATTCGTCTCTTTCCTTCTAGTCCATCCTCATTCTAATCCCTCTTTTGCATATATGCTAAAATAATCTTGTAAAGCAGAGGTCTTCATCATATAACTTTACTGTCCAAATACTTTGGTAGTTCCCTGCTACCTTTAAGATAAAATATAGACTCTTTAGCCTTAACATTTAAAGCCCTTTACAATCTAGCTTAAATGTATATTCCTGGACTATTTCATATTATTCCTCTTTCTTCACTCTCCATTTCAGTCAAATTGAGCTACTAGCTAGCCCCTCAACTATTTTTTAATCTACTCATTTTATGTCTCATTTCTGTGCCTTTAGATAAACTGTTCTGCAGACTTGGGTTTCATTCCCTTTTCACTTTTGCATCTTAGAATCTTTAGCTTTTTTCAAGGCTTAGCTTGACTCTTACTCAAATTCTTTCTTAACTATCCCACTTGTTATTCTTTTTTTCTTGTCTACAAAATGAATGGATTGGGCTAGGTGACCTTTATGATCCCTCTGCCTCTAGATCTGATCCTAGGATCTTTAGATTATATTATTTTGACTTCTCTGTGTGCATGTTGTCTCCCCCTCATTAGAAAATAAACTTGAGGACTGGGACTGTTTCATGTTTGTCCTTGTATCCTCTGTGCCTAGCACAGTGCCTTTCATGTAATAAACATTTGAGAGCCTTTTGCAACAATTTAAGTTTTGTCATATATTGAGGGCAACGATGGATACAAAATTACAGTAGCAAAGTTAAACCCATAAGAAGTTATTTATGGGATATTCAGATTTTGGTTACTTTTATTTAAAAAAAGTATCATTATTTATCTTATTATTTATTTAAAAAGTAGGAAAATTCAACAGAATTATTGTCCACCTGGAAGGGATTTGCAATTTGCTGAAGCATAGTATTGTGTGTTGACACTTTACTACTTCAGTGGATCTATAATATCAATCAGAAAACATTTATTCAGTACTTTCCATGTACTAGCCCACCCAAAGTTTTTCCATCCTATATAACTCTTGTCCGTATCTCCTTTACTAGGAAGTCCTTCCAGTAGGATAGCAGCTTTCCTCTAGCTTGATGTACATGGTTCAGCATGTAGGTTGTCTTTTATCTCTGTGACTAGCCTGTCTTCTTTTGTAGTCATACTTCTCTTGGGTGATAGATTTTATACCATGTTGTGTGCTCAGGGCCCACCATATACCTCTCCAGTATTCTTTAGGTGATACTCCTGTTAGATTTCTGTGAAGAATGTAGTATTCCATGATTCACAGCTATATAACAGCAAAACCAGAATATCCTTTAAAAAGGTGGAATTTTGTTTCATGGAGAAACTTACAGAGGGGTAATTGAAAGTGCTGTTTCAATTTCCAATGCAGTGTAGCTCACTGTTTTCCTTTTAATCATTTCTGGACCCAGCTTATTATTCATCTACTATTGCTGACCTAGATATTGTTACTGGTCGGCCAGGTCTATGAGCTGTCCATCTCCCTACATTTTAGTCTGGATAACCAGCAGTCTTCATTGATTTGGTTTTTGTGGATGAAGAGTTGAACTGTGTAAGTAGTGACTGAATTCTTGAGAATGATTACTGAATCATCTGCAAATTGAGTTGTCTGGAGGACTGCGCTCTCTATTGAGAATCCCTCTTCCTCTGACAATGGCATACATCTTTGGAGAGCATATGTCTCCATTATGTGTCTTACTTGATGCCGGTAATCTGGATTGTCTGACAGTTATTTTTGTTTTTGTATCAAGGAATATTGTATGATATGAGTAGGAGAAATAATAGCTAATAATAGCTACCATTTATGTTGCACTTACTATGTGCTAGGTTCTATGCTAGTTGCTTTACAATTTTTATCCCATTTAATCCTTACTGAGGTATAGAGGTTAAGTGACTTACTCAGAGTCGCACAACTAGTAAGTATCTGGAGCTGGATTTGAACTCAGGTCTTCCTGACTCAGGACTTGGTACTCTTCTATCCCCTGCACTACTTTGCTGCTCCTAAATGAAATGCTATTGGAAGACAGCTTTCTGGCTCTTCTGAGTTCTTTTTTTTTTTATAATTGGCAGTTAATAAGCCCTTTGGGGTCTGGTGTGGCACACAGTTTTGAGGCTGTAAAGATATAATCTACTGTAGAATATCATTTGCAAAAGCCTTCCTGTATACCTCTAAAAAAATTTTCAAAGATGTCTTTGATACATGTGTAAATTATTTTAAGCAATTTTTTTAGAGATCAGAAAGTTGTTATTGTTATGCTCATATTCTCCCCCCCCCCTTTGGTAGTAACTTGTTTATTTTTTTCCAGTTGTTAGGTATTGTTCTCTCTTTAAGAGAGTTTGTGCTTTAAACCCTTGGTGTCGTAAAAATTGCATTGTTTCCAGCGGGTACCTCTTTTATTCTTCGTGTTTTTTGAATGCTACTTTTTACTATTTTATAAGGCAACATTGTTTATGATCTTCATCATCCTCCTTAAGATTTTGCAAATATGTTTATACTGTAAATTACTATTGTCTTTGGTTTCCATAATCTCTCCACTTGACAAAGAAGTAAAGTGTTTGCTGTCTGAGGCAGTATCCAGTAGAGTAGGAGCTCCTGGAGGTTAGGGGCTGTTTTTGATTTTGTCTTTGTATTCTCATTGCCCACCTAGAACAGCGCCTGAACATAGTAGGTATTTACTAAATACTTATTGAATTGAATTTCTAGGCTCTTTTATGCTCCTTGCTTTGGTGATTGTTTTACGTTGATTAAACTTAATAGTGATAATCTATGTCACTGTCGGATCCTGTATCCATTTCTCATTTTTTCAATTTGTTGATATAGGTTGGGCTGGCAAAATAATTCCTACTTTTATTTTTATAAGTTGGTGTTGATTTCAAACCTTATTCTAATAAGTCAGTAATCTGACTGAATATAAAGTATTTCAAGCTGACTCCCATGTTGGGAAGCAGTTCTCTCCTGCCCCTTAAGACATGGTTTCATGTTCTGATTAATTTACAGTACATTATACATCTCACCCAGGTATCTTCTTTAATAAAGTATTCATGGTATATAGGCATGTGGCTTCTAGGTCATCTACAGTCCTTTGTTCTCTTCTTTTTGTTTTTTTATTCTGAGTTATATTTTCCAACACCTTTTTGTCATCTTCCCAATCGCTCATCATGGTGTCAAAGGCATTAGGTATCAAAGTAAGTGTGTAATTCGTAAGTTGTTACCAAGTTTTTTTTTTTAACGTAATTTCTTTACCTCCTCATCTTCTGTATCAGGTATTGTACTTCCTGGTCATGTTTTCAGTTATGCTCATTGTTGATCACTGCAAGGTGATGTGACCAGATGTCCCATAAATATTATTCCTTATTGCAGGTCTGCACAACATATAGGCTGCTTGTAGCCCATCAAAGTGGCCCATGGATTGTACATTGTGCAGGCCTGTTTTACATTCTCCATTTTTTGGAGACCATCTGAAATCCTTTAGTGGGCTACAAGCAACGTGTGGGCTATACGTGGTATGTAGGCCATATGTTGTGTAGGCCTGCCTTATTGTCTCTGGATCCTTGATAAAACCAACTCCTTTATTTCTACCTGCAAGGAGAACTTGTGAACCATTTTCCTGTTTAGCCCCTATTTCCCTTTTTGTTCTTCTATTTTAGTTTATGGAGAGAATGTCAAGATTGATATTATTCAGTTTCTCCTGTAGTTGGTCATAGGATAAGGATCACACATTTAGAGTATCAACAGTTAACAGTCAAAAAATTGCATGATTCTTGGCAACTTCTGTCCCTTTTTCTATTCTTTTTACCACTGTCATTGCAGAAGTGAAAAAGGGTTTCTCAGGATAAGTGGGCATTTCTTATTTGTCTTTGTTTCATGGCCAGCCTACTGGTGATAAGCTTTCTATAATTAGCTGCTGTGGTTGTTGGAAAACAGATGTGTTTGGCCTCAGAGCCTTTCCTGCATGGTAGAATTTGCCAAAGCTTATATTTCTCTGGCTTAGCTTTTAAGAACCTTGTTTTTAGGGACTCCATGTCATTACATGCTTTATACTACATGCAGTAACACTTTTATGGAAGCTACATCCACACACACAAACACATGTATGTGTATGTGTATATGCAAATACACACACACATGCATTTTTACTCCACAGAAAATAAGATACTAAGCACTCAAAGGAGTCCATAAACAGATACAGAAAAATTAAACGTTCATAGTCCATTAGATTCATTAGACTCCCTAACCCTCTGAAGGTAAATACAATTTATCAGAATAAATCTCATTTTCTTTCCACCTACACTATCTGAGCAACTTATAGTAATTTCTTAGCAGGCTGGGAAGGTCCAGATCACATAGCCCTTCACTGTATGGCATTAGTTCTTCAGCTACAGTAGTATCCTCTGGTGAAAGGCCTCTTCATTCTCCAAATTGCAAATTGTCATGGAAATTGCTCTCTAGGACGCCACTGCTGTACTCTTGAACTCAGAACCCATGTGATTTCAGGAGTCCTCAAACTCAAAGATTACCCTTCAGGTCACCCTCAAAGCTATTCTTAGGATTGTTTGTCTCTGATCTGCACCCAGAAAAGGAAACAGCCAGAAGAAGGCAGTTAGAAATGGCAAGTCCAGAAAACTTCCCTCTCACATTCCCTTGTTTATCCATAGGTCACTTGCCATGTATTTTTCCTGCAATTTTTTGTCCCTAGCAGAGGAGAGGATAAAAAGGGAAAGGAGAAGTCCTCTACTTATCTGCACTCCATTCTAGAAGTCCAAGCTTAAGAAGAGAATAGGGAGAAAGGGTATGATAAGCAGTTTAAAAAATGGGAAAAGAAACAAAGTAGACTTTGGAATGTTTACATTAGTGAGAAAATTAATTGATGACTCTCTAAGCATTATTAATTCCACATGAGGAAAATACATGAAAGTTACAACATTTTTAGGTACAGACAATGCTGATGTTACTATTGTTTACTAATTGCAGTATATTATGTTTATTTGGTATTCTCTAGGCACCAAAGTGGTATGCATTGCTGAGTAATAAATACACAAAATTCAAATCTGAGATACAAATAAGCATTGCTTTGGAAACAGATACAAAAGCACAAGTAGATGGTTTTAAAGCAAAGGAGGCACCACCTAGAGAAGGAAAAGGTTGGTACGGATGGATTATTCTGAGAATTTGCATTTATTGACCTAGGATTTGATACTGGTTAGAAGACTATTTTTTAGTGATATATTGAAGTAATTATGATGCCACCTGTTGCCTTTGGAGCCAGACATCCTCGACTCACTTCTCAGCTCTCTTGCTTAGCCAGCGAATATTTATTAAATGCCTACTATGTACCAGGAACATATGAGTGCCAAATGAAAAAAGTGAGATAGTCCCTGCTTCAAGAAGCTTATGTACTAGGTAGATACAGCATATAGGATATATACAAATAAACATTCAATGACTTTACTTGGGGGGCGCTTTCAGTTAGTGAATTGGGAAAGACCTCTAAAAGAAGATTCTACTTGAGCTGAGTCTTAAAGGTAGGGATTTCAAGAGATAGAAGTAAGAAGGGAGAAAACCAGGCATGGGGAAGAGCACATGCAAAGGCACACATGTATGGATAGAATGTCATATATAGTGATCAGCAGGTACATAGTGGTTGGTTGGTTGTTGTCCTTCATTCTCGAAGAGGACCAAAATAACATGACTATGTTAGAGTCAAGGTACAGTGTTGGACTGTGGCTGATCAGACCAATACGAGCTCTGAATGCTCTACCACAGGTCAGACTTTCAATGCTATTTAGAGGAGTACATATTTTAATAGCAATGGGGAGCCACTGATGCTTCTTGAGCCATATGCTTTTGGAATATCAGTGCAGCACTCAGAGCCTCAGTTTCAACTGTTTAATAAATGTACATAGTGTTAGAGGAGGGGAAGTTGATGAGAAATGCTTAAAACATGGTCACAAGACTATAACATTTTGAAAAAATAAAAGCTTAAATCTTTAAGCAGTGCCGTAACAGAATTAAATCAATTATTTTCTCCATGTAAAGTTCCTGGTGTGTTGTCTGGAATTGATCCTAAGAAAATTGTAGCTGTCTTGAATGAAGAAGAAGGCTACCATCAGATTGGACCAGCAGAATATTGCCGAGACTTCTTTGTTATGTCAGTGACTATAGCATTTGCCACCCAGCTGGAGCAGGTAAGACTTTTTGCCATGTAGGATTAGGGAACCATTCATAAGTTATTTGAAAGCACAAACTTTGTATAGTTATTTTGCTAATACAAAATTAGCTTTGAAAGTTTTTTCTATCATGAAGCTCTCTTTTAAAGACAATAGTGTATAATATATGCAAATAGACAATAATACAATATATTACATCAGTGTTATGTTAATTACTATGCATTAATATATTGTATAATCATATTGATATAATAAAACATTAAATAATATAATTTTAGAGATATGTAATTCTGTTATATGTCTATAGATCTGTAATATGTATCTATTTGCATATAGATATATATCTTTAATCCCCAATTCTTTTTGTTATAGCCAACAAAAAGGGTACTTGTAGTTTAGGGAATTGCAAAAATTAAGGTGTATGAATGTAATGGAATATAGTACTGTAAGAAATGAGAAAAGGGATGCATTCAGAGAAATCTGGGAAGACTTGTGGGCAGAACTGATAATAACTACAACATTGGGAAGAAAAATAAATTTGAAAGATTCAAGAAAAATCAATGCAGTGACTGACCGTGATTCCAGAAGGCCAGTGATGCAGTTTGCTACCTATTCCCTGACAGAGAAGTGGGGAAGTAAATATGTGGATTGAGATGTACCTTTCCAGACATGGACAATGCTTGGATTTCTTTTGCTTAACTATACTTATGTGTTACTGTCCAAAGGTTATTTGCCTTTATTTTGAATGAGGGGGCAGGATTAGGGAGCAACAAGGGAACTAATGAGAGTAATGCCCACTCCCACCCAAAAAAATGGACAGAAACCCTCCAGTCTTCCTGCCCCTGGTGTCAGAGCCTCAGGCATATTTTGTCCTGAATATATCGTATTTGTACATAGCTGTTTGCATGTTGTCTACCCCATTCAACTATGTACTTCTTGAGAGCTGGGACTATTTTTTGCCTTTCTTTGTTTTTTTTTTTAACACTTAGGTGTCTGGCACACGGTAGATGCTTAGTAAACGCTAGTTGGCAAACTGATTTGTCCTTTCTGGCCAGGCCTTTTTCCTATTGTGTTGAGTGTGTGTGTGTGTGTGTGTGTGTGTGTGTGTGTGTGTGTGTGTGCGCGCGCCCATCTTTGACTGAGTAAAAAGGCCTGTTTCTCTTTGAATTTCATGGTCATTATTTGGTCTGGTGCTATTTTTAGGTCTTTGATAAAGTACTTGTATGATATTGCATTCCTCTTGTTACTGTTCACTTAGTCGTCTTATAACTGCTCATTAAATTTTTTTTTAAAAATTGCATTACATAACTATCTTCTGCCAAAATCTAGATTTTATTGTCTTTTGATAATTTTGTCCAAATTTTATACACATATTCCAAGGTTGCTTTAAGATTCGTAGAGTGTTTTTTCCACACCAATAATATGCATTCCATTTTACAGAGAGTAGTTAAATGATATGCCCATGCTTACACCAATATTGTTAGCCCTAGGCTTCAAACTCAAGGCTCCTGACTAGGTCAGCATTAACCATACAACTTCTTATCTATATTATCTTCTAAAGATCTTGGATATAAATTATACTGCAAGAATCTCATCATATTCTTAGGATATAATGTGGGAAATAAGTTAATACCTTGAAAACTATCATCCATAGTATAAAGAAAATACCTTGGGGGAGAGAGGAAGGTTTAATTTGCAACTGTTAGCATTTCATGTTCTTCCCCAAGGTTTTGAAAATTGGTTTTATTTCCTCCAGCAACCTGGATTTGGACCAGTATTTTACATTTGACTTGTGAATCTAATTTCAAGAATAGCATTAAAAGAACTTTGTTCATAACATCAATCAAGAATCATTTGGATCTAAATTAAAAGGCTTAGGCTTTTAAAATTTTTGTACTTTTGATAGAGATTAGTGAGAGACTTGCATGATTTCCAGAACAAATATTTAAAAGATATTTATATTAGATATTTGAAGGTAATTAGACATTATATTTTGGAAATATATATGAATTTTCAGTACAAAAAAAGATTAGAGTTACTTAGATATTAATTTGTTGTTTGTTTTTTTTAAAAATTAATTTATAGTTAATTCCATGCACAATGAAAATACCAGAGAGGCAACCTGAGTTTTTCTTTTACTATTCACTACTGGGAAATGATGTTACAAATGAACCTTTCAATGACTTGATAAACCCAGATTTTGAGCCAGAGAGAGCATCTGTTCGAATACGTAGCAGTATTGAAGTACTTCGTATTTATCTGTCTCTTCATTCTAAACTACAGGTAAACGTTTCACATTCCTCTTATAAAAGATGTTTAACATATAGAGATACATGAATCTTTATTTTTATATTGTTTTAATTCCACAGTATGGCAGTGAACCTCATGTACTTTTTGTTGGACCATAATGTTTATCATTCTTTTTATAAAACTATGTATGATCTATAGAAGGGGGTGAGAGCACATCTCGTATCCCTGTAGCCAGTAGTTTCTGACATCGGGCAATGGCTGTTTTCAGTAACCTTTACCCTAGGCAAGGCTGTCAGGATTTTGTAGCATTTACAGCCTACATAATACTTGTTTTTTTATATAGAATAGATTGCCACTTTGACATGGTCTTCAAAAATAAGGCAGATGGATTTGTCTCAGTAAGCATTATTCTATTCTTGTTATTTTCCTTCTGTTGTCCTTTTATTTATTTATTTTTTTAGGCAGTTGGGGTTAAGTGACTTGCCTGGGGTCACACAGCTAGTAAGTGTCAAGTATCTGGTCTGAGGCCAGATTTGAATTCAGGTCCTCCTGACTTCAGGGCCGGTGCTCTATCCACTACACCCCCTAGCTGCACCTCTGTTGTCCTTTTAAAGCTGTTAGATGTTACTAGGGGAAACTTAAGTTTTAGAAATGACTAAAGGGATTTTTTTCTTAAAGAAATAAGACAAACCAAGCTTGTGTTAGAAATTTTGAAGTTTTCCTTTCCCAACATTTAGTTGTAGTTACTTTTTTTGTTGCCATTTTATTTTGCCCATTACATCTTTTTAGACCATTTGCTGATTTAGTAGTAAATAAATTATTATTCTTTTGTAACAAAGAAACTGAGTGGTAATGGAACCAAAAATAGAACCCACAGGTTATGTTCTTGTAAATTTATTCTAATTTAATTGTCAGTATTTTAATTCATTGCAGTAAGTATTTATTGCTTCCCTATTCTGTGCATGGCACTGTGCACATGCAATGTAGATTACAGAAGAGTATGAGACATAGTCACAGATATCAGCTTACAGTGTTGTTGAAGAGATCAGGTACATCAAATAGTTTAAAGAATACAATGCAGTATATGAATTGTGATTATAAGTGAATGAGAAAAATCTTCTGGATCATATGTCCTACAAGACAGAGAAATATTTTTCTAGTCCTCACAATCTCTCAAACCTCTTCAAAATAGGAGTCGTATGACCGAGTTTAAGCAATTTCATCTGTGTCTATGGTCCGGGACTCTAAGAACCCAAACAAGGTAGAAACTTGATGAACTAGCAACAGAGAAGTCTAATCCTTAATTAGCCTAATGTACTCGCTCAGCAACCTCTCCCCCTTCTCACACTGCTATGACAACGGACCATGAGCTTGTAAGGGAATTCAGCTCTACAGTCTGACACCCACATTCCCCCCCCCCAAAAAAACTTATCTGTTCCCAGTGCCAGTTATATCTAAATGACAGAAATTTGCTCAGGCTGTGCTGTAACAGAACTCTGCCAGAGAACAGGAATAGAGGGAACTGGGGTAGCACACATGCGTATGCAGCTATGTGAAAGTCCATTAAATCTAAACAAAGAGCTCACTATCCAGCTGGGGCCATTTCTGTTCCACTAGAAGTCACTTGGGGCAGATATGTAAACTGGTGAACCATATATGAATTGCCCAGCATGGAAGGAGGCTGAGACGTCTTTGAGGTCTATCTCCCAGGGAATCTGCCATCAAAGGAGGAGGAGTTAAAAAGAGAACAGTAGGGGAAAATGAAGAAAAAATACTAAAATTACAAAAGATGTAAGGAGGAAGAAAACCCAGAGACCTTGAGCTAAGCAGATAAGCCAACAGAAAAGATAATAACAGATGGGAAAATGGCCTCCAGATCCTGGAGATTCCTTGATCTTCAGATTAGTGAAATGTGTTCAGGCATCTATGAATAATTGCAAGATAAAGGAAAATAAATCAATACTTGATGAGGCAGAGGACCTTGTAGATTTAGAAGAGAATATAGAACCACAGCATACTGTTCCTGGATGGTTTGAAAGAGAAGAATTTTGAAAAAGAGAGTTTATGGTTGGCACAGCCCAGAGATAATTTGCAGAATAGAAAAACTTGAATCCCCGGTGGAAAGTCTCACCAAAGAAACAAAAGAGAATAACTGATTGAGCATGCAAATACATATGACTAAAATACAATCTGGAAAAAAGAGAAACAAAAGCAATAACTTTTTTTTTTAAACTTGAGTTCTTTTTTATTACATTTGCATGAAACTAGGCACAAACAATGTGATCAATCTTTTACATCAAAAGCAGTAACTTTAAAAGAAAATATGATTTCCATACAAGCAATTGAAGAAAGGTGATGTAGAAACAATTTATTATAGGGCTCTCAGAAGAACATAGCAAATTAAATAATCATAACACCATAATGCAGGAAATAATACAAGAAGACTGCTCACATCTTCTGAACATGGAAAACAAAGTGGCAGTCAAAAGAGTCCACAAAAGAGTCTTCCTCTAGAAGAAGAAGACTGATAGACCTGCCCTGCAGACTCCAACATACATATAAATTAAATAATTGCATTGACAGACAAATTCTGCGAACAACTAGGAAAAAAGACCTTCAAAAATAAAGGAAAGAAGATTCAAATAAAACAAGACTATTCTGCACTTACCAGAAACTGTAGGAGGGAATTTAATAATTTATTTCAGAGGAGCAAACGAAGGTGAAATATGTAGCAAACCTGAGCCTAATCTTTAATGAAAATGGATGGATATTTTTTAAGGGCATTCTAAATATTCCTAAAACAAAATCCATACCTGAAGAAATTTATATGCTTTTGAAATATTTCAGAGCACAGAAACAAAAGAATGGTAAACAAATACAAAAACAAGAAAATAACAACAGAGACCATTAAGAGATTTAATTATGAGAACAATAGCTAGCATTTATATAATATCTACTGGGTGCCAGGCACCATGCTAACTTCTTTACAAATGTTACCTCATTTGATCCTCACAGCAACTCTGGAGAAGGTAGGTCTTATCATTGTCTCCATTTTACAGTTGAGAAAACTGAGGCAAAAGCGGAAAGTGACTTTCTCTAAGTCATACAGCTAATGTCTGAGGCTAGACTTGAACTAAGGTCTTCTTAAGGTCCAAAACTCTACTCACCACGCCACCTAGCTGACCAAAGCACACAAGGTGACAAGGGTGAAAAGCAAAAGTCAGAAGTGATGGTAGAGAAACAGGCCTGAAACATCATGCATTTAATCTAGTGGTGAATCAAGGTGTTTTTGTTTTGGTTTGTCTTTTTTTTTTTTTTAATATTACTAAATTATATAATGGAAGGGGGCATAAAAGGGGAAAGGAGAGGAAGAAGATAGATGGGATTATGTGATGTACCTTAATCAAATCAGAGGCTCACAATGAAGGGAAAATTAACTCCTATGATGTCTAAGGAAGAAGATAGACTCCTGGGGATATGAGACAAAGGAACTAAGGGAGAGATTGAAAAATTGAGGAAGAAATCTTGCTTCAGTAGTGGGAGGAAGTACCACTGATGAATGCTCAAATGGGAAAAGAGAGATATATTCTATAAAGGGAAATGGGGAATTTACAGTGGGTATAATCTATAGGGATTTGCTGTTTAGAGAGACCACTCATCCTGCCTCAGGAAAGGGAATCAGAGCTTTTGGGGACAAGTGACACCCAGAAGAGTGGGTGGGGGGATATGGACCCAGGAAAGAGATTTTGAGGCACACGGCGGGGAGGAGCGGGGAGGAATGACCAAAAGGAAAGCAAAGGACAATAATGAATTGTACAACCAGGGACATAGGAAGGTGCTTACCATGTGGCAATATTTTCTCTGTCACCTGCAGGAATTGGTATTTCTAAGAATGAGACAATGGAAAAGGAATTGGGGGCAAGAACTTCAAGATGATAAATTATTTAGAAGAAAACCCAAAATATGTATCCTAGAAGCTTTAATTCCATGAATAATACAGAAGTCAAAGAAGGACTAAATTAGTAAGGGACAAAAGTAGAATAGACAAAAAGGGAAGATAAATTAATGAAAAGAATGAGAGAAAGAAATTTTTATTTTTATTTTTATTTTTTCAGAAAAAGCCACAGAAAATTAAATCTTAAACTAATAAAGCAAGTTGAAGAGGAGAAAGGAAGATTTTTCTTGACAGCTGAGGGGGGAAAAAGATGAAGAATGAAATATCTAAATAAAAGCAAGAAAGAAAGCAGCTAATAAGCACAATTTCAAAACTAGGGAAGGGAGTAACAGATGGAAGGGGGAGTATTTGAGGATGAGGTGAAAAGAATCAATAGGAATAGAGTTATCTTTAAATAGATTAAACTAAAATAACTGAAGAAATATAATGCCCTCTTTTTAGAGGGAGAGGGGGAAAATAGAAACAAATGGAGGACAATATAATCTTAACTCTCAACTTTAAATGTTAATTGATTAATAATCTAATCAAATGAAAAAGAATGACTAATTGGATGAGAAAGTAAAACTCTACAATCTGGTGCTTATAAGAAATGCATTTAGAAAACCAAGACATATGCAGGACAAAACCGAAGGGCCAGAATAATTTTACTATATATCAAGTGAATCCAGAAGAGCAGTAGTTAAAATCAAAGTAAAAACAAACATTCATAATCTAAAATGTGATAAACACAGGAGCCACATTCTGCTAGAAAGGAGCTATAGACAATAAGCAATATCAGTATTAAATTTATATCCTTGAAATACCTTAGTGTCTAAATTTATAAAGGAAACATTAACTGAAGGACAAGAAGACATAGATAGTAATAAAATAGTGGTAGAAGATTTCAGTGTCCTTGTCTCGGTTTTAGATAAATCTAACAGAAAGAAAAATGAGAGAAAATATGGAACTGAGCGAATTGACTGGAGAGACTAAAGCTCAACAACTTTATGGTGTTTTCTAAATGAGATTGCTAAAGAATATTTTCAGCACCACATGAAAGTTTCACAAAAATTGACCATGTGTTTAAGGCACAGATATATTGTCAGCAATGTAAAAAAGCAGAAATAACAATTATAACCTTTATAGGCTAAAATGTAATAAAAATATTAATCAGTTTAGGGACCACAAACAAAAGACAGACCCAAATGAGACTTAACAATGAAATCCTAAATAATGAAGTACGTCGAAGGACAAATTGTAGAAACAATATAACAATTTCTGGAATGCAACCAAAATAGTCCTGGGGTGGAGGGGATACATATTCCTATCAATATATGTTAAAGGATTAATGAAATAAAAATGCATTTAAAAAAATTTACAGATCTATAAAATAAACATAAAAAGATGCATTAAAAATTGAAAGAGAAATAAACCAAAAACCAAAAAGTCTGTAAAAATGATAAGTAAAACTGAAAACTGTTTCTTTGAGAAGAACAGTAAACTGATAAATCTTTAACTAATTTGATTAAAAAGAAGAGGGAAAGAAATCAAGTCAATAAAGTAGCAAATGAACAAGTTTTTGTTGTGAATTATAACAAAACTAGAAGAAATAAAAAGAATAATTAGAACCTATTATACAGTTATATGCTAATGAAACAGAACACAAAAAATTGATTACTTAAAAAAAAAACGCTGAAATACCCATCCACATAGAAGACCAAATAGATATCTTAAATAACCCAATCCCCGAAAAGTAAATAGAACTAACTCTAAAGGAACTGCTGAAGGGGAAGCCAGAGGGAGGAGGCAGGGGCGGGGGCGGGGAGACTCCTGGTTCTGATGGATTCATCAGGAGAATTCTATATCAGACTTAGGGAATAATTAGTACAACAGGAGAATTCTATCAGACTTAAGGAACAGCTAGTACCCATACTACATAAGTTATTCTTAAATATTGAAGGGAAAAGGGAACAAGCATTTATTAAACACTAATAGGTACCAGTTACTGTGCCAAGCTCTTTACAGATATTATCTCACTTGATCCTCACAACAACCCTGCAAGGAAGGTGCTATTATGATCCCTGTATTATAGGGATCTGAGGCAGAGAGCAGTTAAATGACTTGTCCAGAGTCACCCAGCTAGTTAGTGTCTAAGGCCAGATTTGAACCCAAGTCTTCCTGACCCCAGGTCCAGCTGTGCCATCTGTGCCATCTTGCACCATACCAGATTCATTTTATGAGAAAAATATAGTCCTAATATCTAAACCAGGGAAGGAAAAAGCACAGAGAACTATAGACTAATAATATTAATGAATATTGATTCATAAATTTTAAATAAAATCCTCTTGTAGACTACAGTGATTCATCCAATAAATCATTAATCATAACCACTTTGGATTTATTCTAAGGATGGTATTTCAGCATTAGTGCAAACAGTCAACATAATATTAAAAACATGAAAAACCATATGATTATCTCAATGGATATCTTTGACAAAGTACAAAACTCATTTATACTTGAAACAAAATCAAAAACAATGGAACTTTATAACCTAGATAGCCATAAACCAGAAAACAAATCACTTAGGAAAAACTCTCTCTTTGATAAATACTACTGAGAAATGTGGAGAGCAGTCTGGCAGAAATTAGGCTTAGACCAATATCTTTCATATTCCACAATGGATTCAAGATGAATATCTGTATTAAAGATCGTACTACAAAAAATTTAGAAAAGGAGATCATATACCTCTCTAAGTCATTGGAAGGAAATGTATTCTTAACCAAACAATATTGATTACGTGAAACTGAAAGCTGCAGAAATGAAATTATTGTGTTAGGAAAAAATAAGCAGTCAAATGGGAAAAAAAATCTTTGTATCAAACTTAATTTGCTCAGGTTTTGGTATCTAAGATATACAGACAATTAACATACACGGATATATGAAAATATGTGGCCAGAAGCCATTCCCAATAGAGATATGGTCAAGTATGTGAACAAACAATTCTCCAAAGAAATTTCGCATACTACAGTGACTAAAATGTCTGTATTCTTTGACCAAGATTCCACTACTAAGCTTATACCCCAAGGAGGCCATTGATATAAGTCCCTACATTCACTGAAATATTTAGAGTAGCTCTTTTTTCTGGTAGCAAAGAGTTAGAAACAAAGATGCTTGTCAATTGAGGAATAACTAAATAAATTGTGGTATATGAGTGTAATGGAATATTCATTCTGTGCTATAAGAAATGATGCATATGATGAATACTTAAAAGCATAGCAAGATCTACATGAACTGGTGTAGAATGAAGGAAGCAAAGCAAATAAAACAGCATTACAGTAACAATAACAATGTAAATTGAAAACAATAAAAAAGTGAGTGACGCAAAATCATAAAGAACAAACATGTCTTAAAAGAAGAGATATGAAAAAAAATTATAAAAAAGAAGAGATATGAGATGATACCCAATAAGTGGTGGTGCATGGCACATATTTTTAGATTTTTTTTGATCATCCTGATTTTTTTCTTTTTTGTTTCTTAAAATGTGCTATTGTTATATTGGGATGGCTCTCTAGGAGGGAGGAGAAGGGGATGTTGGAGGAAACTATAATGACATAAAAAATATCAGTTAAGTTTTAAAAAGAAGTGAATGAGAGATTCTCATATTGTAAAAATCTTCCTCATTATTTCATTTAAACTCCTACAATAAAATTTTCCCCCCGATATTTGTTTTATGTACAACATTGACTTGTGATTTCTATAATTAAATTAGAAGCCTGTTAGGTACTATTTATCTGTTTTTATAATCTGGCATTTTTTATTCATTTTCTGTGTGAAGAGTGTCACATTTTATTTTAGTTATTGAAAGTTTATAATCATGTTACATTTTTCATGTTAATAATACCTATTGAACATCTATTTTAATATATTGTATCAGTAATCATTTCTTGTTTTTCTTCTAAAGATAAAGTATTTACTTTCGACCTCATTTTTTCATGCTCATTTGGAATTTTTTCTTTTTATCGCACTGCTGATTATGTTTAAGATGGAACCTTTATAAATCTTTTATTTAAGATATAACTTGTCTCATAACATAGCTAAATAAGACCTATTCATTATAGCCATTTTGATTTTATTTTACTCTTCTGTTTTCTTAAAACCCTAATTCTAAGGCTGTATTTTCAGGAAAGTAACTTTCAGTTGCTGATCAATATATATTAATGATAAAGCAATTTTGCAAATCAGTATCTGAGACCTGGTTTCTTAATGTGGGTGGAAAACTTTTTCTAAAAAGATATAGAAATGCAAAATAAAATAATGAATTTAATAATAACTTCATATGGTTGCTAGTTTTTTTCAAAACTATGTATAGATCAATTGTATAGATCAATTTAAATTTAGTTAATATTTATTGTATGGCTATGACCTTGTGCAAGCATATAACCTTAAATGGCCCCCTTTGGGGGAGTAATATTATATTTTTATTCTATTAAATTTAAAATATTTTTAGTGAGTTGATGGGGTGGGGGTGGAGAGGGAGAAGCATTTTTTAAAGATTTATTTTAGAAATTCTTCTTCCATAAAAGATTCATCTGTGCTGTGGAGACCAATCACTTGGAAGCACAGAAATTCTACTAACTGGATTATTGAAGAAAGGAAGTACAGACATCAACCAGCGCCCTGTAGCAGTTGAAGGTGCTTTTACCCTTGACCCACCCAACAGAGCCAAACAAAAACTTCCCCCTATTCCATTGGAATTGGCACCTACTGTAGGAGTATCTGTGGCTTTACAAAGAGAAGGCATAAATGCCCAGGCAAGTATAGCTTTTATCTCCTCCTCTCTCATGATTTCTGTTCCTCTCTCCCCTATGCTTAGAATGGACTTTTTCCTCACCTCCGCCTCATGGAATTCCTCTCTTCCATCTAGGTGTGCCTCATGCACCACCTTCTACCTGAAATCTTTCCTTATTTCTCCCTCTTTCTCCACAGTTGCTCCTGCCCTCCCTCCCAGACTATCTTCTAAGACTTTGTATTTGTTCTCTTCATATTTGTTCTTTATACTTAGGTGTGTACTTGATGTCTCTCCCATTAGAATATAAGCTTCTTGCAGAGATTATTTCATTCTTTGTTTGTATTCCTAGCGCCTAGCATAGTGCCTGGCACATAGTAGGTACTTAATAAATGCTTATGTATTGATGCTTTCAATTACTTTGTTTACTATATTTTATCATATATAAAAATTTAAATTAATGTAACTAGTTTACAGTACCGCAGAAATATGAGCCTAGAACTGTTATTCTAAAATGTTGGCCCAGGTTGTGTTATTTCCTCTAAAATAAGAATGTTTGACTTGGCTTCCTGAAAAGCTCATATCACTCCTAATCTTAGGTAATACTGATTTTGATGGGAGAATTCTTTTTTTTCCCCTGTAGGAATTCTGTTAGTGAAGTTGCACTTTTATTGGTTCCTCATTTTCAGTGATTTTGACAGAAAGGACAGTTTTCTGTTGAGAGAATATACTCCATAAACTCTGGAAGCCCTGATGCATGGGAGTGAGCCTTGAATTATTAAGAGAAATTGAATCCACTTTGACACAGTCCTTTAATATAAGGCACTGTTAGTGTTTTACAGTGACTGATACTGGCCTATTGACAGAGACTATATAAGCTTTTATAGCATCCTAAATACACTAATAGGGCAGCTAAGTGGCTCAATGGATAGAGCACTGGGCTTGGAATCAGGAAGCCTCATCTTCTGGAATTCAAATCCTGCCTCAGATACTTACTAGCTATGTGACCCTGGACAAGTCACCGCATCCTGTTTGCCTCAGTTTCCTCATCTGCAAAATGATCTGGAGAAGGAAATGGCAAACCATTATAGTATATCTGCCAAGAAAACCCCAAATGGGGTTACGGAGAGTTGGACGCGAATGAAAAATGACTTAGTAACAACAACAAAATACATCGCTATATGGGAGCTACATTGGCATTGCTCTTCTTTTAGTAGTTGGTTCTTTGCAGGCTGATTAGTAAAGGCTGGAAAAGTAAGATAAAAACCAGAAAATTGTTGAGAAAATAATAGAAAACAAAGGAAGAAAAGAGAAATAAAATACAAGGAAAGAAAGTATAATCCTTTCTTTCTCTCACTTGATAGTATTTCAAGGGATAATTACCCATTCATTCATGGCCAAGGGTAACCTCCCTCAAGAGGTCCCCTAAGCCATTCTATTAATTAAAGTATACTTTTCTCCTAAATTATTTTGCCTTCCCCACTAGGAATGCTTTGGCATTCTAAATATCAGAATCCTTTCTGTTTGTCATGTCTTTTTTTCTGGTACTAGAGTGTCTAAGAAATCATGAACAAAAATAATTTAAGAAGATCTAAAATGGGAAAAATAACTTAGAAAGAATCAGAATATTGAAAGGTAACATTTTAAAAAGTAACCTCAGATTTGCATGGAGGTAAATGAAAATAATTTCAGATTGTGCTTTCGGTAAATTATTTAGCCTTTAGTTGAATTCAAGACCCAGTGTGAACAAGAGCACTCGAAGAAGAAGAGAGTTTTAACACCTATACAGGAGAAGCCATTGGCTGAAGAGAAATCACCAACTCCTCAATCACCTATTCAACTTCAAAATCACCAGTCACCACCAACTAAAGATGATGCAACAGAAAGTGAAGCAGAAAGCTTACAGTATGACAAGGACATAAAAGTAAATCAAAAGGGTAAGCTTATTTTTTAGTAACTTTTCATCACATTTCTAAGTAATGTAACTTCTTTAGAAAGTTCAGAAGGTTTTTATAAATTCGAAGTAAAAATTGTATTTTATTGTTTACAATAATTGATTGAAAATATCTAATCAGTCTTCTAGGTGAAAAATTTTAAATAATTCCATTCAACACACATTAAGCATTTACTGCTGTGAGCAAGGTGCTATGGTAGGCCTTGCACATAGGAAGTGAGTTAAAAAATAATTCAATACCATTGTAAAATAGAATGTGCTTCAAGCCAAAAAAATGTATTGTGAATTAGGAATTAAGCCATTTTTTGGAATCCTCATCTAGTCATAGAGTTTTATAGTTGTGACTGATTCTTTCCATTAAATTGAGAGAAAGTGACTGAAGCCTGAAACTTGAATCTGATTTTGTAAACTTTTTCATTTGTTGTGATTCACTTTGGGTCAACAAGTGTTTATTAAGCAGTCAGTGTATTTCAAAGTGGGAAGCAGAATAAGCTCAATCTTGAAAACAGGAAGACCTGAGTTCATGTCCTCACCCTGACACTAACAGGTTGTGTGTCCCTGAACAAATAATTATCAGTGTTGCAGGCAGTTCTCTAAGACAATAACTTGCAGAATTGCTGCTTATCTTTATTGGTAGAGGAAGTTTTTTCACCACTAATTTCCTATAGTGGTGGATGTGGACCAAAAATTAGAAAAAAGGCAGAACGAAGCCTAACAACTTTCAGGACACTAGTAAGAACTAAGGAAATTGTTTCAAAAGAATTACTTCTTATCTGTCCCCAGATGAGCCAAATAACATATTTTATAGCAATTTTTTATATTCACAATACATGCTAAAGATAATGTTAAGCTTAGTGTATAAAAGTCACTTCCTGCCAATGCTAGATACCTTTAAGGATTCAGAGATGAATGTACTTAAACTGGTTCTTATGGTAAATTGTACTTTTTGTACAGTGTGTCTTATAAAATACTTTCTTTGGTAATGGAAGACTGAGTTAAGGTTAACTGCTTTCTCTTCATTTTGGCAGGTAGGATAGTCAATTAAAATACTGAGACTTAGATTGTTCAACTGAACCTTGACTGATCTTGCAACTGGTAATTTTTGTCAAGCCACTCAAATGTTTTTGTGTTTCTGTTTTCCTTTTCAAAACTGGAATGGGAATATTCCAATTCCCTATATATGGATAAATGAAACAGTCATTTTTAAATGGATTGGATACCTTTGTGAAACTTTTACTGAAATTTTATCTTTTGTTATTGTGTTCATGTCAGCTTTGAATTCTCCTACATCAGGTTCTCAAGCTCATCTGGTGACAACATCCAGTGCTTCTGAGATGACTTCGGGACAAAAGATTGCCGTCCCAGCATCATCACATCATTTTTGCTTTTCAATAGATTTAAGAAGTATTCATGACCTAGAAGTTGATTTTCCAGTCAATTGTATGTTAAGGTATGGTTTAATCTTGTTTTAGACACTTTTAAAAGGAGTTATGCCTCTTATTTTCTTTTGAGAAGTTGAGAAAATAAAAAAGGCATAAAATTTTTACTTAAAAATTTTTTTTTGCTTAAAAAAGAGAACTTTATAACATCTTTGAGTACATAGTCTTATGATTCCTTTTTTCCCCTATTTTTGGTATTATATTTGTTTAAAGAATTTGAGCTGAATTTTAAGGTTTATAAAGATCCTATGTATGTATTTATTTATTTATTTATCAGAGCTCTCAGATCTTACTGTTGCCAAGTGCCAGAAGGTGTAGGGTATTTTGTAAATAAACAATGCATGAACATTTTAGTGACCTCTAGGATGTATAATTTCTGTTTCTTAAGAAAACACAGATCAGAATTCTGAATATATTGTTCACAAATCAAAAATAAACTAATTACAAAACTAAGTAAATATACAGGAAGCTCTCCTGACTTTGAATGTTTCCTTTTTTTTCTGTGATAATGTATTATGGATCTAGCTTATTCTCCTTCAAACTTCAGTTAGCATTTGGCCTCTGAAACCTTGCCTTGTTCTGTGCAGCTGCTCCTACTGCCCTAACAAGAACTTTCCTCAGAAAGAAAATAAGAGTTTTCAATTAAATAAGCATTTGTTAGGTACCTGTTAAGTGCAAGGCACTGTAATGGGCACTGGAGATACAAAAGTGAGAAAACACAAAGAGCTTACAGTTTATTCTGGTATAGAAAAATGGACATAAGTCTGATGCAGTGTCTAAAGTAATCTGGGCATAGTAGAGATCCAGAGAACGGTCATTTTAGAAACCAGGTGCAGCATCATGAAGGAAACAGCTCTTGAGCGAGGTTATGAAGGAAAAGGAAGATTGCAGCAGGTGTGGATGTGGTGGAGGGAGTCTATTCTACGGATAGATGATGGCCTGCATGGCTGCAGAAGTGGGAGAGGGGAGGCAGACCTAGGGAACTTGTGCACTCATCATATTTGGCTGGAGCAAGAACTATCTGAAGGAGAGTAGAATGAAATGAGCCTAGAAAGTCAGGCTCCGAGGATTTTGGTCCAGTCTTTTCTTCTGCAGATGAAGAAACTGAAGCCCAAAAAGGTGAAATGATTTGCCCAAGGTCACACAGTGAGTGGCAGAGCAAGGATTCAGTCCTCAGTCTGTTGACTCCAAACCTGTGCTCTTTCCACACATGATCCTTTCTATACATGCCACCCACTTCCCTAGTTTGGAGTTTTGTAAAAGATAGGGCAATGGCAGAAAGATCAGTTTGTATTTTATACAGTAGGGAATCACTACAGGTTTTTTAGAGGAGGAGGGTCTCGTCCTCAGAACTATACGATGAGAAGATTATTTTAGCAAATTTAGAAGATTATATTTAGCATGTGAAAGTATGTTAAAGGATAGTTTAGTGAGAAAAAAAAGACTAGAGGCCAGATGATGTAGAGCATTTTTTATATGAACATATATAGCTTTGATTTCTTCTGAAAACTACCTGTTTATATCCTGTTTACCATTTATCAATTGGGGAATAGGGAACCTCTTTTTAAAAAGTATTTATTGGACTAAATGTTCACTGAGATTCCTTCCAACTCTGAAATTCTGTGACTGATTCTATTGATGAAATATTCTTGGTTTTGTAAATTATGTTAATTCCCTATAGAGGCTAGATGTCAGAATTTTATCCGATATATTTAATACAAAAATTTGTAGAAAGAGTGCTGGATCTGGAATCAGGAAGAGACTTAAGGACTCTGATCAGTATAATGACCTGTCAGGATTCCAGAGGACCAACAATGAAGTAATAGCTAATAATAATAGTTAACAGTTATAGAGGACCAACTATGTGCTAAGCACTGTGCTAATCACTTTACAAATATTATCACATTTTATCCTCATAACAACCCTGTGAAGTTGGTGTTATTATTATTCTCCTTTTTGCAGATGAAGGAAACTGAGGCAGACATGTTAAATGACTTACTCAGGGTCACCTAGCTAGTAAACATCTGAGGCCAGATTTAAACTCTGGTCTTCCTGATTCTAGGCCCAGTGTTCTATCTGCTGCGTGGCCTGGCTGCCTTACATGGTAGCTCCTCCTGGCAGAGGAGAGACCTCAAGATTCACCATTACTTAGAGGATGGCACAAATTAGATGAATTAGTGAATGAAAATAAGAAATAGTAGCAGGGAGGTAGGAGCACAACCAAGAAGAGTGCTCTGTCAGGAAAGTTAAGGAAGTTGAGACTTCATGAAGGGGTATTTGGGGGGGGCAGGGCTTGGCAGGGTTAAATGTTATGAAAAAATCAGGTAGAGCCTGCCTGAGAAATTATTTTTTGATAGAGTAGTGGGTACAGAAGCCAGAAGAGATGGTAAAGATATGGTGATCACACATATAAAGTATACTTTGTAGAAATCTAGGCATGAAGTAAAGCTTGTTTTCATAGGAGAATTGAAGGAAGGCTTTTTTGTTTTTAGAGTGGTGAGATCTGGTGTGATGGAAAGGACACAGGTCAAGGTGTTAGAAGACCTAATTTTTCAGTTTAGCCCTAATGCTGAGTAATGGTGTGACCTTGGACAAGTTAAAATTAAATTCAACAGGGTGTGTGCAATAGTCATACAAATATGAAACAAAATAAAGCTGCCCTTCTTTACCAAGTAAAATACAAACCGCTTGGCCTGACGTTTAAGGCCCTCCACAACCTCTTAGCGTTGTACTTTCCCAGGCTTATTGTGTCCTTTTCTCCTTCAGTTGCCCTCAGATCCAGCCAAACAGAAATACTCACTGTAACTGGATTTTGTCCTATCCTTTCCTGCCTCCTTTGTGCAGGCCTGAATTTCTCTGGCATTGGTGTGAAGGATATATGGGACAGGGAAGAGGAAGAGGAGCTGGTGAAGGAGACAGAAAAGGAGCAATTTGAGAGGTAGGATGAGAACCAGGAGAGGGCAGGGTCAAGGAAACTAAGGGGAGAAGAGTAGGTGGGTGTGTTCAACAGTGTCATGTATTGCAGAGAAATCAAGGAAGATGAAGACAGAAAAAAAGTCCATTGGATTTTTCAATAAGGTCATCGGTGATTTTGAAGGGAATAGTTTCAGTCCTCAGCGATCTGTTGAAAGGGCTTTGAGGATTGTATGGGTGGTGGAAAAGTGTGGACAGAGAGTGCAGACTATTTCTTTTACTTAATCTTTCTTGGCCTTGGTTTCCTTATCTTTCAGATGAGTGAGTTGGGATGTATGATCTTCAAGATCCCTTCCAGCTCTAGCATTCTGTGGATTTTATGGCTTATGTTATTTGGTGAGCTAGTCAGCTGAAAGTGGTAAGCATATGTATTAATAGACCTGGAACTAAAATCAGGATGGTATCTGGGATCTAGAAACTAGTATTCTTCACTCCGTAGAGTGTGTACTCTAGAATTCATTCAGAAACATTTGCTAAGTGCCCATTATGCACAGAGTGCTGTGCTGGGTTCTGGAAGAGATAAAAAATTTAGGTTAAATGTAGAGCTCACAACTTCAAGAACAAAAGAGGCACAGGCACGGATTTTAACTATAATATATAATATTATATGATTAGGGAATTGCAGAACAAAGTGCTATCTGAGGTACAAAGATGAAGTTTGTTACAGACTAATGGTATTGGGGAAGAGTCCATGAAGGAAGTGGCATTATTGCTTTAAACAACAGAAAGAAATTCTCCAGGTAAAGAAGGGAGGGAAGACGTTTTAGACATAGGCATTATGAGTCAACCTGTCTACATGTGGTATATTTGGGGAACAGAGCAGTAAGTTTGATTGTAAAACACAATGTGTGGGAGTTAGCAATGTGAAATGAAACTAAAGTCTGTATGGTACAAGGTTGTGGAGTGCCTTGAACACGGGTAGGATTGTTAGTATGGAATGTTGTTTACAGTGAGTAGGTTTTATTGTTAGAAAAAGTGCTTTCAATTGAAATTATGAAATCTAATTTTTACATGAAAACTGTTATAATACAGGGCTATATAATTCCTTCATACTTTTTGGAGGGGCTGTCTTACTGTTGAACATTTGGTGGTTCAGCATTTTATAGAAATGGCTATAAACTCCCTCCCATAAACATATCAGAATTTCTATGTCATGAAAGTTCTGTTCAGAGTAACCACCTTGCTCAAAATGCTTTCCAACTTCCTAGGATGGAGGAGCCAATTTGCCAGCCTCACTAGAAAACATATTCTTATCACATTATAATTACACTATAGGTGCCCCCCCATAATCCCATTCCTTTGTTCTATTTTTTTAAATTATTTTGATTTACCAACAATCACTTCCATAAGCTTTTGAGTTTTAAATTCTTCTCCCCCTTCCTTCTTACCTCCCTCCCCAAGACGAGCAATCTGATATAGGCTATACATATACATTCCTATTAAACATATTTTCACATTAGTGATATTGTAAGTAAGAATTAGAACCAATAGGAGGAACCACCAGAAAGAGGAAACAAAACACAATAGAAAAAAAAATAGCAAATAGTATGCTTCGATCTGCATTCAAACTCCATAGTTTTTTCTTTGGATGTGGTTAGCATTTTCCATCATGAGGTCCTTTGGAGATGTCTTAGATTCTTGTGTTGCTGAGAAGGTTTAAGTCTATCAATATTAGTCATCGCACAAGTGGCTGTTACTGTGTACAATGTTCTCCTGGTTCTGCTCACTTCATTCAGCATCAGACCATACAAGTCTTTCCAGGTTTTTCTGAAGTCTGCCTGCTCATCATTTCTTATAGCACAATATTCCATTACATTGATATACCACAACTTGTTCATCCATTCCCCAATTGATGGGCATCTTCTCAATTTCCAATTCTTTGCCACCGCAAAAAAAGCTGCTGTAAATATTTTTGTACACGTGAGTCCCTTTATCTTTTTAATAATCTCTTTGGGATATAGCCCTAGAAGTGTTATTGCTGGGTCAAAGGGTATGCACATTTTTATAGCCCTTTGGGCATAGTTCCAAATTGCTCTCC